AAAAAAAAAAAAAAAAAAAAAAAAAAAAAAAAAAAATACACAATATATATTTAACTAGCTAGCTAGCTAAATAGCTAGCTAGGTGGGTAGGTGGGTAGCTAGCTGGGTAGATAGGGGGATATGTGGGATAGCTAAAGAGGTAGAGAGGTAGGGAGGTAGGTAGCCAGGAAGTGTACTAGTAAACCCTAAACCCTAAACCCTAAACCCTAATAATAAATATACCTTGGCAATTTTGTTGTTGGAAGGAAATGTCAATAAATGCCTCTAAAGAAGGAAATTCTTTGCAAAGATATAAAAAACAAATACGCGTAAATGACTCCCCTGAATAAATAATAAACCCTAAACCCTAAACCCTAAACCCTAAACCCTAAACCCTAAACCCTTTGGTATGTGTGTATTTTGGTTTAGAGATATGCATGTATTATACCCCTCTGCATCACTACACTTGCATCTACAACTTCTGCTGCTGCTGCTGTTGCTGCTGTTGTTGCTGCTGCTGCTGCTGCTGCTGTTATTATTACCTGGGGGATGGTATACCCTAATGCCATGTGTATATTTATATGCATTTATCTTTGCTAGCCATTCCTTTCTTGCATGTTCTCCTTGTGAAGAAACAATTAAGAATTCTATAAATAAAGAAATAAAAAAAAAAAAAGAAAAAAAAAAATAAATAATATAAAACCCTAAACCCTAAACCCTAAACCCTAGAAATTCTTACCCTTCCTTGTTGCCTGCAACTTCCTCTGTGCTGATTGTAGACGCAACTCGACCTTCTTCTTTGCTGCTGCAACTCTTTCAAGTTCAGCATCCACAGCCTAAATGCAGACACAAACCCTAAACCCTAAACCCTAAACCCTAAACCTTATATCGAAGACCATAAACCCTAAACCCTAATTCTTATAGTCAAAACCCTAAACCCTAAACCCTTAAATGCTTACCTTATCCTCCTCCAACAGCATCTGCACTTCCTGCATATTTTTTTCCGTCTCTGTACACATAAACAATGCAACGCCCCAGGTAACAGCATAAACCCTAAACCCTAAACCCTAATCTTAAACCCTAAACCCTAATAATCGTAAACCCTAAACCCTAAATTTGCATACTTGCATTGAGGTCTTCTATCTCCGCTTGAAGTCGAGCGCTTTCGGTGGCGAGCTGCTCCAACTCAGCTGCAGACAAAAAGTAGCAACAAACCCTAAACTCTAAACCCTAAACCCTAAACCCTAAAACCCTAAACACTAAACCCTAAACCCTAAAACCCTAAAACCCTAAAACCCTAAACCCTTGGATGCATTAGTAGTGAGGGTGTCTCACACAATAGACTGCAAATCCTTAACCCTCAAACCCTCGCTTCCCTCCGTGCCCTTCAAACCCCAAACCCTAAACCCTAAACCCTAAACCCTCACAGATTTGATCATCAATAAAGGTTGCAAATTCTTCTGCCCTAAGTCTTGCGCCTCTTGCTGCTGCATCGCAGTCTGTCTGCAGCCGCTGCATCATAGCAGCACCTAGTGCAGCAATTGTGCTGCTGCTGCTGCTGCTGCTGCTGCTGCTGCTGCGGAGAGCGGCAGCATCTGCAATAGTAGAGGAAGCAGCGCCATAAGGAGCTGCGTCAGCGCTTAGACGGCAGCGAGTCTTCTTGTTGCTGCTGCTGCTGCTGTTGCTGCTGTCTGCATGCATTGCTGCTGACAGCCTTCTGCAGGAGGGGAGGGAGATATCCCCTGCGCTAGCTGCTTGACCTTGCCGTTGCAGCAGCAGCATCTGCTGCTGCTGCTGCTGCTGCTGCTGCTTCTGCTGGAGGTGCAGGGTATGGGGCCCCTGCAGGCCCACCTCCGCGAGCATGATGTTCTTGCTGCTCTTTTATTAATTTATTAATCTTCTTCTCTTGCTGCAGCACAATTCAGGTGTATAGGCAGCTACAGGTGTGGGGCCCCAGCCCAAGGAAAGAGTCAAAGAAAGAGAAGAGAGGGGGAAGTTGATATATAGGGATTATAATTGTTTGTCTGCTGCTGCAGCAGCAACAGTAGCTGCAGCAGCAGCAGCAGCAAAAGCAGCAGCAACAATATATAGGGGGCCCCCTCTTTGTTCCTGCAACAAGAGGCCTAACCACCGCTACATCTTTGCAGTTTTTTCTTCTTTTTCTTTTATTTAAATGTATTTAAATGACATATTTATCTTTTTAAGGATATAATAATAATAATACAGCAGCAGCAGCAGCAACAGCAGCAACAGCAGCTGCAGCAGCAACAAACAACAGTACGCACAGCGGCCGACAGGGGCGTGGTCACAGGTGGGGTTGTTCTTGCTGCTGCTGCTGCTGTTGCTGCTGCTGTTGCTGCTGCAGCAGCAAATAAATAAAAAGTAATTAATTAATAATTAATTATTTTAATAAATAATTAATAAATATAAAAAAGAAACAGTTCTCCTTAGCCATGTTTGTTTGTCTCACGACCGCTGCTGCTGTTGCTGCTGCTGCTGCTGCTGCTGCTGCTCCTTGTTAATTAAAGAAAGAATTATTTTATGTTTAATTAATTAGTATAAATACTAAACATAAATACATTTATTATTTTATATTTAATTAATTAATTAATATTTAATTATTTATTTAGTTACTTTTTCTTCTTTTTGTTCTTTTTTTTCTTGTATATCTTAGTATACAAATACCAATAAATGGCTATTGCATGCAATAAAATAAATAAATAAATAAATAAATAAATAAATAAATAAATAAATAAATAAATAAGTAAATAAATAAATAAAGCCTCTAATAAGGAAATAAATAAGTAAATAAATAATAAATATTTATATCTTGCATTGTATGTAAGTTAATACAACAACCGTTATTAACCCCTCTAGCCTAGGGTTTAGGGTTTAGGGTTTAGGGTTTAGGGTTTAGCGGCAAACCCTTAAGCTGCCTTTTGGCTGTTTAACAAGAACAATTGCTGCAGCAGCAACTGCTGCAGCAGAATAGCAATAGGGTTTGGGGTGTATTAGGGTTCAGGCAGTAGATTGTTTTGCTGCTGCTGCTGCTGCAGCAGCAACCTCTGCTGCTGCTGCTGCTGCTGCTGCTGTCTTGCTGCTCTTCTTCCTCCTCTTAGATCATCAATTCCCCATATAGATCCATCATCAAGAACAACTCCTATTAATATATGAGGAAATCCAGCAGCAGCAGCAGCAGCTGCTGCTGCTGCTGTCTTCTGCTGCTGCTGCTCCTGCAACATATTCACGGTGTTAAGATGCACCTGAGCAACAGCATTTGCTGCTGCTGCTGCTGCTGCTGCTGCTGCTGCTTGCTGCTGCTGCTGCTGCTGCTGCTCTATGCTGCCTGGTGCCTGCAACAGCCGTCTGTTTGTTTGCTGCTTGCTCTTATCACCCCACTTATAGGAGTCTTCATATGCTGCTGCTGCTGCTGCTGCTGCTGCTTCTGCTGCTCTTTCTGCTGCGGCTTCTGCTGCGGCTTCTGCTGCTGCTTGGGCTTGTACTTGGGCTGCTGCTTGGGCTTGGGCTTGTGCTGCTGCATCTGCTGCTGCTTTTGTTGCTGCTTCTGCTGCTGCTTCTGCTTCCTCTACTGCTTCTTCTGCGGCTACTGCGGCTTCTGCTGCTGCTTCTGCTGCTGCTTCTGCTGCTGCTTCTGCTTCTATTTCTTCTGCTCGTTCCGCTGCTGCTTCTGCTGTTTGTTCCGCTGCTGCCTCTGCTGCTGCCTCTGCTGCTGCCTCTGCTGCTGCCTCTGCTACTGCCTCTGCTGCTGCCTCTGCTGCGGCTTCTGCTCGGATTTCTTCTGTTTCTGTTACACCTGCTTGCATTGGTACTTGGCGCTCGTGCTGCTGCAGCAACCACAGCGGCACCTGCGGCTGCTGCTGCTGCTGCTGCCTCTGCTGCTGCTGCTGCTGCTGTTGCTGTTGCTGCTGCTGTCTTAACCATCCGTAATTCTGCTGCTGATAAATTTCTTCTAAGGGGAAGCTGTAAAAGGAAGCAGCACTATAATGATCTGCATATACACCCGGCACCAACCACACAGCAGGAGCAGCAGCAGCAGCAACAGGCACTGCATGCAAATAATTGCATGCATATATTAATCCTTGCTGCTCTATAAATGCATGCATAGTAATGACAGCATGAGGGGGCTATAAGGAAAAGCGTTTACCTGCAAGAAATTTTGCTGCTGCTGCTGCTTGTTGCTCTCTTTGAATTGCTGCTGCTGCTACTGCTGCTGCTGCTGCTGCTTGCTCCCAGCTGTCTGCGCAGAACGGGCAGTCGTAGAGGAGTGCTGCAGTATCTGCTGCAGCAGCAGCAGCAGCTGCTGCTGCTGCTGCATGTGCTTCTTCTACTCGCATATACGCTGATGCTAAATGTGCATCTGGATAAGGGAATGCATAAGCTGGTGTATATGCTGCATTTGTAACTGCTGCTGCTGCTGCTGCTGGGACTGCTGCTGCTGCTCGTGCCCCTGCTGGTACCAGTGCATGCGACACAGACTCTACGCATAGCACAGCAGAGAGAGAGCTAACAAAAAAAGAAGAAAAAAGAAAAGAAATAAACTTTTGTCTCTTCTTTATTTCCCCCCTCATCTTTAGGCTTTATTGACGCTGAGGGTTTAGGGTTTAGTGCTTATAGGGTTTAGGGTTTAGGGTTTCGTCTTCTTGCCGTGTGGTCTGTTCAGCTTAATTGTGAATAAACCTCTCTTTTATATTGTTACTTCTCCTGTTGCAAAAAGTTGCATGCATTTATATTATTCTTTCTTTTTCTCCTTTTCTTCCTTTATATAGGGTATATCTTGTATCCAGTCATTAGCCATCTTCTTCTTTCTTCATTTCCTGTTCTGCATATTTCTTATTTTTCCTCTATAATGACCATTTATTCTTCTTTTTTTATTATTGTATATTTAATTGACTGTTTTGTTCTTTTTCCTCCCTCTGTTTATACTTTAGACACTCGTAATCATAATACCTCTTGGTGGTGGTTGCGGTGTTGTTGGAGAGCGGGGAGGGAAACACAGGAAGAAGAGAAGAAGTAAATTAAGAAGAAAAAGAACTTTTTATTGATTTAATAATCGTAAAAAAAGAACTAAATTATATTTTTGCATGCATTTAGCGAATATTTTACTGCATGCACGGAGAAAAAAGGGAATTCAACTTTCCTTCATGACCATCATTGCCGACAGGTTTCCTCCCCCTAACGTAATAACGTAGCGGAAATCTACGCGAACTTCTCGTAAATTAAAGGAAAAAAGGGAATAAATAATAAGCAAAGTATTTTATAAATAAATAAAGGAAGAAAAAGGAGAAGAAACTCCAATTTTAAGGGGAGGATGAACAGGAAAAAGTCGGGTAATCCTGTACTGTATACAGGAAAGCGGTGTTATGAATTCAAGGAAACAAAAGAAGAAAAAACAGAATTTCCTTCCTTTCTTTTTCTTTATAATATTAAATGTATATTTAAAAAGGAATTAATTAATTATTAATTATTTTTGTATTTTTCTTTCTTTTTTTTTCTTCAAACTTTTCATTAACCCCTTTGGTCCATTGGTCTATTGCATATTCACATTCTTTCTTCTGTGTATCTTCAGGTGTACGTACACCTCAGCTTATTATAGTTATATAAATTACTTTATAAAGAAACAAAGATATTCTTTTTTATATTTTCTTTGTATAGATTGGCTGCCATATACCTAATAAGCAATCCTTTAATATATATATATATTATATATATAT